TGTGAGAGGGCGAAAATGGCGGCGGCGGCCGCGGGAAGGAGCTGGGACTGCTCATGCGCGGCAGGCGCCCGTCGCCCCGCGCGCGGGAGCTCCGCTTCCCGGGAGCCTGCGCTGCGGCAGCCCGGCGGCTGACGTCGTGAAGTTCGGCCTCGTCCGGCGGTCTGAGTGTTTGCTGCTGGCCGGGTCCTTTCGTTGCTCACGGTGGTAGCTGACTAGAACTGGCAATCCTCAGTCTGGGGACTTGAAAACAGAAAACTATCTTGAGTTGGTGCGATGAACAGCGATAGTAATTTAAAGAAAGCGCTTGGAACCAAGTACAGTAGTGCAAAGAATAAGGCCCTGTAACAGCTGACTTTATCTTTGGAATACAAGCTTGCAAAATTATGCAGCTGATACACGAAACATGCAAGGAAGAGAAAACATATAAACTGAAACGGAAGAGGAATCCCACTCATATCACCTTACAAAAGAAAAAGAAAGCTTAATGTTAGGTGCGCACTCGCATGAGATTTTTACTCAAATATTATGCTAATGGTATAAAATATTTTGACTGTTCACTAAGGAATAATACTGAATGTATGCTGATTTCCTGGTCAGCAATTTTATGACATCAGTTTACTCTTGTGCCAACTATTGAGTTTTCACTCAAAGTAATAAAAAAATACTAAATTTTTATAATAGAACTATAGTCAGGCTCCTTATTACAATTCATCCCCGAGGTTTGATAAATGTGCTGTGTTTTATTTAATTGATTTCAAAGTTGTTTTAGTAAGCTGTTACATTCTGTGAAGCCTGCAGCTTGAAGCTGGTAAGAGAGATGAGGGTTCTATAGAATGCCTCATTTAAGTCATGACTATACAGTGGAGAAAAATGCCTGGTTGAGATTCAACCAACAATCTCAAGTAGAATCCAGGATCCTAGCGTCTGTTACAATTTATGTCGGAGTTGAGACGCACAATTCAATTTTAGGCACACAGATAGGTCTGGGCCAAAACCCATGACCCGAACACATGACCCAGAGAAGGACCCTCGTTCCACACTCCTGTCCCTGAACACCAATTACACTCAATTCAGTACTATTTCAAGCTTTGGTCAGTTAAATCTGTGGCAGAGGCGGAGGCTCAGGCTGGACCCAGCAAGTGCGGCATAAAACAGCAGAGCTCAAAGCACATGCTTCCCATCAGGCAACAAAACCAGTTAGCTAGACAAAAACAAGAGAAGAAAGACTTCAAGGTCGTGGTGGTCATTCTCTAGATTATTCTGCTCCCAGGATGGAAGTGGCCCCACAGAGGACAGATTAAAACCACTCAACCCCAAATTTGGTTTGGATGTCAAGACACACATGCACCAAGAGAATGTAAAAAGATTTTTTACTCACATCATGGGACTTTCTGGGCAGAGCAGGGTAGCACCCAAGCTGATCCAGAACTTACCTGAGTGATTTGAAAAAGTGTGGGAAGGAGTGGCCTGGTATGTATTGCAGTTAGGGGCTAGGGTTGAGAAAGAGAGCATGCATATGGCTTTTCTTATCAGTTTGCCTGGATGTGGGGCAGAAGAGGAAGGTAAAAGTTGGTTTGAAGACTACCATAGTCAAAATTTAACAATGGTGTCAGACTCTTTATTACAGTGTGGATATACCACCTTTTGTTTATCCAATCCTCAGCTGATGGACATTTGGATTTTTTCCTTTTTCTTTTTTTGGCCACAATGAATAATCCTGCTATGAAATATTGTATATAACTTGTTAAAAGAAAATAGAGACCAGGCTTGAAAATCCCCTGAGCAGACAAAACCAGTTAGGCCACATAAGTAAATCTTAACATAGGTTATTTCTTGTAATGCCTCTGATCATCATAAACAAACTTAAGTCATATTCCTAAAATGGTGTAAAATAATCACTTTTAACTAATATCCTGTTGTCTGGGAAACCCCATTGTAATAATTGTTATAAAGGCATGTAAGGACATGCCTCCGTGCTTCTTGTCACTGTCAGTTTGAAGCCTCCCAGTTCACGGTCTGTTCTTTTGAATATACAAGAAACTTAAAATTTTAGCTTGCTCTGAAACTCTTTGTGTGGATGTATATATGTTTTCCTTTCACTTGGGTAGATACCTGGGGGTGGCACTGCTGAGTCATTTGGTAACTCTATGTTTAACATTTTGAGAAAAATGACAAACTTTTCCAGTGAATATGAACCATTTTACATTCCCTAAAAGTGGTTTTCCCATTTTTATTAATTTTCATTGTATTGTCTTGGCACTTCTGTTGAAAATCAATTGAGCATAAGTAGGACGGCTTGGTTTTTTTCTGGACTTTTAGTTCTATTGCATTGATCTAGATGTCTTCTATTATGCCAGGGCCACACTGTCATGATTGCCATAGCTTTGTTGTAAATATTGGGATTCCCTTGAAATTCGTTTTCAAATTTGCATGGGTATTCTGGGTACGTTGCACTTTCATGTCAATTTCAGAATTGGCTTATAAATTTCCACAAAAAAAAAGGCAGGTGAGATTTTGATAGGATTGCGTTAAATCTGTAGATAATTTGGAGAGTAATATCATCTTAATAATATTGAATCTTCTCATTTATGAATGTGAGCTGTCTTTCCATCTAGTTTT